TTCCTCTCATCTTATAAGACATATAAGAATTCACACAGGAGAGAAGCCTTATGAATGTAAAGAGTGTGGGAAGGCCTTCAGTGAATCCTCAAATCTTAATGTACATGTGAGGAAACACACCAGAGAGGAACCCTATAAATGTAAGGAATGTGGGAAGGCCTTCAGTTGTCCCTCATCCTTGAAAGCACATGTGAGAGATCACAATGGTAAGGTGCAATATGAATGTAAGGAGTGTGGGAAGGCCTTTAGTCGTTCCTCATCCCTCACTGAACACCTAAGAACTCACAGTGGAGAAAAGCCTTATATGTGTGAGGAATGTGGGAAAGCCTTCATTAGTTCTTCCTATCTTACAGTACATAGAAGAACTCACACTGGAGAGAAACCTTATGAATGTAAGGAATGTGGGAAAGCCTTCATAAGTTCTTCATATCTTACAGTACATACAAGAACTCACACTGGAGAGAAACCTTATAAATGTAAAAAATGTGGGAAAGCCTTTATTTGTTTCTCAGCTCTTAGTCTTCACATGAGAACCCACACTGAGAGAAAACCCTATGAATGTAAGGAATGTGGGAAGGCATTTCGACAATCTTCATACCTTACTATACATGCAAGAATGCACACTGGAGAAAAACCCTTTGAATGTCTGCAGTGTGGAAGAGCTTTCAGTTCTCCCTCATCCTTTGGGAGACATGTGAGAAGCCATACTGGAGAGAAACATATGAATGTAAGGAATGTGGGAAAGCCTTTATTTGTCCATCCTACTTTCAAAGCCATGTGAAAATTCACACAAGGGACAATATATAAATGTAAGGAGTAAGGGAATCTCTGAAGACTTTTTCTGAACTAATGCAATATGTGAAGTCTCATTTTGTGAAGTTTCATACTGTAGAGACACTATAAATGTGAGAAAGTAGGAGATTATCACTCATTCTTTTGAAGAATTGAGGACAACTGAGTGAAACCCTGTGTTTGTAAGCTGTATGGTAAATCCTTTTGATTTTGAACATAACTTGTGCCGCAGTCTGGCTGGGCTGTGCAAAGTAGCTGGGGGGCGACAAGCAACTTGTGAAAGTTGAAACAGCGGGAGCCTCTTTATTCAGAACAGCAGAGTTATATATACCCAACTAAATACAGACAGCTTATCTCAATTAACATCTTCCAATTACAGCAATCAGTCATTAAGAAATCCTCATCATCTTAATAATTAGACACAGCTTAACTCAATTAACATCATCTAGCTACAGCAGTCAGTCATTCAGGAATCCTCATCATCTTAATAGGTTGCTGGTGTTACATGTCAAACCACTCCTGCTGGCAAAGTGCCAGGCGCCATCTTGACTTGGCTGTGGCTCTCAACACTTGTATAAGAAAATTCAAAATTTGAGCTAGAAGAGATCAGTGCCTCATTAAAGTGGACTTCTAGAGGGTTATTGATTTCCAGTGTTTTCTAATAGGAAGATTTAAGGTTATATGTTTCTTTTATCAGCTTTTATGACATACTTTTGAGTATGAGGTGTTTCTTTAGCTGAGATGTAAATGTTATTTCCATTACAAAGTCTTTTGGACTCTTGGGAGGTTGTGTGTGTACATGTGTGTCTGCTTCTCCTCTGAGACAGGGTCTGGCTATGTTGTCCAGGCCTGTAACTCCTGGACTTCTGCCTTAGCCTCCTAAGTTTGGGAGGGTAGGCATAT